GGATAGGGTCTTTTTTTATGTTCTCCTGTCTTGGGATTTCTTTCTCTTTCTTTTAAATTAAATATTTATTAGTACCCAGCTTGAAACCTCGTGTTTTCATAATACAATACAGTGCGAACTGTTGGAGAAATATTTAACACCTCGCTGTAGGTACAGGACACTCTCTCGCTGGGGGGAAGGGGGATTTACCAGAATATTCAGTGAATTCCAAAAAAGATGAATCTGTACGTGATATGTGTGTATTATAAAACTTCTTAGTCTTGCTGTCGAGCTGTATACATGGTTTAAGAAAAAAAAATAGTGCTGCTTAATGCTTAATAAGGCAGTGGCCATTTGTGTATTTGGGCTTTTTAAAGAAAATCAGAGCTGTAAGGAAAATGAAGTGTTCTTAAATGGAATGGGCATTGTCAGCTGGGGTAAGTCCTAGACCACGTCGGGGAGCATTGAAACTATTTTTTAAGATTTGAAATATATTTCATAAAAAGTCCTCTATTCAAAAATTATATTCAACAGATATTTCCCTTCAAGGGGGAAAAACATTTGAGATTCTAAACAGTTATGAAAGTGCGATTTTTATACGATGCCAGAATGACGGTTCTATTTGGTCAATTCGGACAAATACCAATTTTGCATTTAAAAAACCAGCTATTTATGTCAGCTGCCAGAATTCAGTGAAAAGGAAGAGTCTTTTGTTACAGAGAATCAAAGCCGCAATGAAGATGACTGAGGGCTCAGGATGTTTTTGTGGGGGTTTTTTTGGATAGAATAAAAGTACAGATGCTTCTGATACTGGATTTTCAGCTTCTTGTTACTCATTACAAATAAAGCAAAAAATAAATAAATGTTACCATTTCCATACTCTTGGTAGATTTCAGAAATTATACCATGTGTCCCATATGACCATCTTTCCGATTAAATCAATGTAGAGATCATGTAGACTGAAAAAAAACACACCTGCAAGATAACGTAACTGAATGTTTTAAAGCAGAACTTGTCACTTTATATAAAAGCGTAGTATGCTCTGTCTATTTCCTGAATGGATGTGGAAATGAAAACTAGCACACCTGCACTTTGGAGTCATGCTTCTTTTTTATTACTGTTCTCGTTTCAAATGTTGGAGGTTTTTCCCTCTTATTATGGAATTCATAATCATGGTCACATGTCCTTTGCTTTTTCAGAATATTCCTTTCGACGCATTCCGTTATTTTACTGTACATTGTGTCCTTAATTTAGCTGTCGCTGCCGATTTTTGTTTGTTTGTTTACAGAATGATTTTTAAACTGTCAAATGAAGTAGTGTTAAACTCAAATAAGATAAATGTGAACAAATAAAATACATCAGATACTCAGATGTGGCTTTTTTTATATATATATATATATTTTTATGGATTTCAGAGAGGAAGGGAGAGGGAGAGAGAGATAGAAACGTCAATGATGAGAGAGAGTCACTGATCGGCCTGGGCATGTGGCGCGATCTCCTGGATCGTAGGCCGATGCTCAGCCACTGAGCCACACGGGCCAGGCTCAGACATGGCTTTTATCTGGGAGCTTGAGTTCCCACCTAAGGCAAGAACATTCTTCTTTCACTACTTTGCAGGGGAAATTATATTAGGCAGCCGTTTTTGACGAAGTAAACATTTTCATAGGCAAGCGTTTTGAAATAAGAAATACAGTGTGTAGTGATGTGCGTATGAATGCCCGTATTTAAAATAAGGAAGGGAATTTTATTAGTTATCTGAGTATTTGACTTATCCTACATACTCGATGAAAGGGTGAGAATTCCTGTTTCATCCCTATTAGTGCACTGTAATAACATTTGTCATGTGTTTAAGCAAGTGACTAGCCTTTTGACTTGACTCATAAGGTTGTTACACATTCCATCATGTTTCTATCTTTCAAGTCACTTGAAAGATGCCTCAGGAAATCTCTTTAAAATCTGATACTCTCAAGTTTAGGGAGGGGAATAAGCATGTGTTTAAATGGGTAGCCCTGCTCTGGCCGGTACGGCTCAGTGGTTAAAGCCGAGGGAAAGTAGTGGACAGGGAGAGGACAGGGAACCGAGTCACACTGGATCTGGGAGGTCAATGACAAGACTTTGTCTTCTAACTCTGAGTGACATGGGGAGCCACTGAGGGTCTCGGAGCAGGGGGAGAGACATCCAACACAGGTTTTAGTAAGGATTCTGACCCCTCTAATGAGAATAGGAGGGAAGCAGGCAGACCAGAAAGGAGGTCACTGCAGTAATTCAGGAAGAGTTGGTTATGACTTTTTCCTCTATCCTCGCTCCTTGGGCCTGAGCCTAGATCAAGGACGCGTCCACATACCCTAGTGGTCAGACACAGGCCAAGTCGGCTCAACTGGATGGGGCTAGACCCTATCAGCGAGAGGTGCATAAAGAATTTGCCTTTTTTTTTTTTTAATCTACACTTTTCCATTGTTTTTCAGAGAGAGGAGAAGGGAGAGAGGGAGAAACATCAATGTGAGAGAGACACATCGATTGGTTGCCTCCTGCACGCACCCCGACCAGAGCCAGGGTTTGAATCTGCAACAGAGGTACGTGCCTTTGGCTGGAATCGAATCTGAGACCCTTCAGTCCATGGGCCGATGCTCTGACCCCTGAACCAAACCGGCCAGGGCTGTGTTCTCCTTTATTCTGTCTCATCTGCCGACCTGGGTTTTCCTGAGCCTTCTCCAAGATTCATTAAGTACTTAGTATCTGACTCCCAGATGTCCTGTCTGCCTCCATTTTTGCTGCCATTCAGGGAACTTCAGTATCTACACAGAAAACACAGCAGATGCTCCAACCTTGATTTCTGTGACGTTCCGTCCCCTGCTGTACCTCAGACATATGACCCTCCCCACCTTCCAGCTCCATCACTCCACTACACTTGATCTTGGCACTCAGGTCTTCCATTCATCGCAACTCCATTTTCTCCATTAATCTCCATTAAACTCCATTAATTTCAACTCCATTTTCCCCAATCTCCTGTGGCAGCCGTCTGCAGTGACCACTCTGTAATCCCCAAGTCTTGAATCATTACAAACATCTGCCTTCTTCAGTCACATCTGGGATGCTGTCCACAGTCCCATCAACAGCCAGTACTCTTCTCACACACCTTCCCTGACATGTGAAGTCAACACTCTTAATCTTTACTAACATGATAAGTGAAAGACATTACTTTGTTTTCCTTTGAATTTCTCTCAGAGCAGGGAGGCTGAATATTTTTTTGAAATGTTTCCTGGTCCTTTAGATTTCTTTTGGATTTGTCTTCTAACTTCTGGTGTCTTGTATTCTACAATAGTGTGCAATTTTCATGAGGTCTTTTTACATGTGGCTTCTGTTTTTTTGTCTTCATAGTTCTTAAATGCCATCCACTATGGCAAAAATGAGAGAGTAAAATGAAAGAGACTGAGGAGGTTATGAAGCATAATAAACTGCTCCACCCTCACTGAAGACCAGTGGCTTTTCTAGTGGAAGGTATATGTCTAAGTGATTAACAGCCACTTGTAGTTGCCACAGGGCAAACCTGCTGCAAAGCCTCCGGTTAGACCTGTTCAGTTGCGTCCCAGACCTGAATTAATAGCTAATCTATTGTATCCCACTAGGGGGTGACATTGAGCTAAAGACCCTTTCCCTGTGACATTCAATCGATTCTGGGTAGTTTTATTTCTTCAGTCAAAACTAAAAGGATCCAGTCCCCCCATAATGCTCCATAAAACTAGAGCAGAAAAGAGGGACAGAGCTTTGAATTCAAGAGAAACTGAAATATAGAGTTTAACAAGCCTCTGCTTCAGGCAGCACTTTATTCTATTACAAACACGGAAAGCCGAGGATCAAGGAAGAAAAGATTAAATGGAAGAGAGAAGATGTCCTTCATGATGCAAACATTACCTAACATTAAATATTTCCACAGGATTTATTTCTGCTTAAAATGTAATTTCCCCTGGGTTCGTGTCCTTAAGCTGGCAACATTCCCCTCCCCGGCCTTGGCAATGGGACATTTCCGCCAGTGCGGCCGGTCTCGTGGGACACAGAGCGCCATCCTCCACGGCTAGCGCACGGCCAGCACCTCCCACCGAGGCCGGTTTTCTCCACTCCCTCCACAGTTTGTCCAAAAGCATGACCTAAGTCAGGTCGCCCTTCAACCTTGGAAAGATCGACCTCTCCAAGGTCGTTTTATTCTGTCGCACACTTTTTCTTTTCTCGCAAGGGAGGCCACCTTGGTTGCTCTTTTTAAAGCTGCAACCATGCCATTGTGGCTGGAAGAGCCTCAGGCACTCGGGGAGTATTGGTGGACACCAATGAGCTTCCTAAATTCCAAACTGACCGACTTCAGCCCAAATGGCTGGAGGGAGATCAAAATGGCCAGGGCGCTAAGCTCTGGCTGGAACGGTGGCCAAGTGTTTTACCCACAATACGGCAAAACCCACGTTTACAGAATAACATTTTGCTATAGAAAAAGATCGCAAAGAGCTCAGTCCGAATTCCCCAG